TTATTCGAGTGTATTTTTTTTTGCAAGGTGGTGTATTTTCTGATTATCATATTTTTTTAGGAGCATGTCATTTACATTATCAGAATCTCAGAGTGGTGTCAAGTTTTGCTCTTTATATACAAGCCCAGGTGCTCCGGAAGAATCGTACAAGATGACGCACAACCTGAACAACCTTACCCTGGTAACATACTATGTTCAGGTTTGTGCGCCATCTTGTACGAATAATTAAGAAGCATCCAAGCCCGAATTTTTAAGTGTGTAATGCCGGCTTTTTTTCTTTACTGGATGTAAATCGCAGCGTTCTTTGGCTGATTTTAATTCTTAGTGTGTCCGAAAGTATTTTTTACTCTGAATATTCCAATGGATAGTGAAAATAATGCCACAGATTAAGGGGCTCCCGAAGTATGTGCACCAAGATGTATAGGTACCAGGTTAGAGTTCAGGTTGTGTGCCATCTTTGTGCAAATATTTCCGGAGCGCTTAGATATGAATTATCGACTCCGGGCTCTACTCTAGTAGTCTCTAATTTTTAGTCCGGTGGTTCCCAACCATCAACAGCTCCTTCCTGAGGCTTTAAGGACTCATTGGCCCCCTGTTTATCATTCCAGTGGTATTTATAGTTTTAAATATACCCGGTTGGGAACCGTTGCTCTAGTCTTTGAATACAGCTTTTCAATATCAATAAGAGCAATTCAAACTAAACTCTGCCGGACTCCAATATTGTTATTAGAAGCATTTCAAACTCTAGGGACGCCCTATCACAGGGGTGTGCAACCTGCGGCCATAAGAAAAATTGTGTGATCCGCGCAGAAGTGACAACTTTGAAAGGTGTGCGCCTGTAAAACGAGTTTTTATCAGTTCAATCTGGTTCGTGCCAGTTATTCGAATCTTTTTGCATCGCATAGCTTATACACGAGTTCAATTTATTATCTATGCTTATGACGTCACAGAAGCGAACTACACATGCCATAAGATCAATAGCCAAACATTTTGTGCCTGCCACTACTAGAAAGCCTATGTTAAAAAGGTGCGTCCCGCGATTTCACCAAGTTATTTGTGTCTGGCCCTCTTGTATTAAAGGTTGCCTACCCCTGGATTCAACTATTCAATCTCAAAAAGCTCTCCCGCTTATGGTCACTGAAGCATGACTGGGCAGAATAATCACATCCTGACAAGCAGGGTAGAATTCTGTAATATGAAACTATTTAGATATGGATTTTATACTGCTGAATTCAGACTCGCCGTTCTCTCTATATACTTACCGTTTTAGCTGTTTTTGTGTTTTAAAACAGTCGGAAGTAAATTGGACAAATATGAACAATATTTTGCAGGACTGTGTTTTTTTCATGAAATTGAAGGGGTGAAGACATTTTGAACAATGAAGACTGATAAAAAAGAATTGTAATACCATGGTAGTCGAAGTGTCAGACTTAACAATGTTGATTGTTGAAGTTTGAAATATTGAGTTTGAATTTCTGATCAGATAAGGGTCAAAAAGTAAAAAAAAAACATGATAGAAATTTTTCATAGCTTGAAACTCTTTTTAGACCCTCAAGACTGTTAAAAACTCACGTTTTCGGGCATTACCAACTTTCATGACCTTTGACCGATGCTGCCAGCAACATAATTTGAGGGGACGCTTGCCTTACCGCGCCGTTTCAGACTACGCGCGGTTGCTATCCGTACCTTTTTCGAAAAGCCCGCTGTGTGTAAATGTTGCTTCAACAGTCTTTTTAATATTATAAATTTAAAACTGACTAACTTATGTTAAGTTGCATGTACAGTACTACGGTCTATTTGTCGGTAGGGTTGAGTACCTGTACAGTACCTGGCAGTGGTGCACCCGTACCGGTAATGCAGTACCGTAAGAGGACCGGATATCGTGTCAAACTAGTCTATCGTGTACCTTAAAACACTGACATATTACGAAAAAACCTACTTCAGTACAACGTCTCTCGGATCATCTACCGCCCAACCACATGCGAATACAAAGCAAAATAGCAGCGTCCCCTCAAAAAGTGGTCCTGGCAGCAGTCGTCACGCTCTGTTGAGTCGTACGAAAGTCGGTAATGGAGCCGGTTCTGCTAGCTGTTATGGTCTAACTTGAAAATTACAAAGTTCAGAATCCCCTTCGAAAATTCCTGGCTACACTCCTGTCTCTGATCACCAATGCCGACCTAACATGTCTTTTTATAGCTTTTTGTTTATCAGCAGAGTTTTCGAATCCGTTCAGACTCTTTTCTTCCGAGTGAGTTATTTGATGAAACATTTTTCTTACTGTATTTGAACACTCAGCTACTTATTGGGACACGTTAGTGGACATTCAATAATATGTTGTTGTTCTTGTTATTCGTCATCATTATCATTAAAAAATCGTTTTCCTCTTCGAATACTGGACCAATTGCTTTGAAATTTTTAAGTATGAGTTTATTTCGACTCCATAATTAGCATAACAATACAGATTCAGATTCAGATTTTATTTTCGTCATGCAAAAAACCAATATACGATATGAAAAAATAAAAAAAGGCATATAACAAATTACGAAGACGGGATATCGGCTTGTTGCAATAGACGAGGGATCGCGAAAGACTCAAAGAGTCATCCAGTCAGCGACACCTTGTAGCTGCATTGAAGCAGCAAATATAGCAATCGAACAACTCAATATTAAATAGTCACTAAATTCGACACAATCATATATATAAAAGGGACAACAAAAAGAATGCCACAATGACCACGAAAAGTTACCTAAACATTCACCTAATTAGCCTCAATCACAAAAAGGAACAACAAAGTTTGAAAAATAAAATACAGGATGTCATAATAACTATGGAGTATTAGATATTTACCTAATTAAACTCGATCATACAGAGTAAGAACAAAATAAAATCGAAATAAACACCGAGATACTACAATGATCACATCGTATTATATGACTTAACAGCGACATCTGTAAGAAGGATATGCCTCAATGACAACAAAGAATTGCGAAATAATGCTGACTAAGCATACACAGTAAACCAATATGGCGTGCCCAGCAACGGGCTTCTGGCTGCGAGAATCAATACCGTATTTAACGGATTTTTATGTTGAAAGCGATTGTTAGTGGCTATTAGAGTAGTGCAGAATAATTATGGGTTCTGCAGTATTCGTGGCATATAGGTTGGGCGGAAAATATTAAAACAAGAACAGTACACAGCGAGCACACAACTTGACGAACATGGATGGGAAAAGCAGCACCACAGGGATAGGTACGGTACATACCGGTATACAAATATAATATTTCTAGACTAATTGCAACTGGGCTTATAAGCATCTAGGTATAGGCTCTTCAGTGCATGTTTATACAAGTTATAGGTACTGGTCCTAATGCTATTGGGGAGATTATTCCACAATTTAACACCAACAAACTTGATTGAGTTTTGGGTGAGTTTGGTGCTAAAACGATTTACATAATAAGAACTGCTAATAGAGGACCGTGTTCCATATGAGTGAACATTGCTTTGTTTTGAAAAATAGTTTGTGAACGCAGGAGGGAGTTTTTTGCAGTGGTGTTGGTGCATCAATTTCAAAACTTCTATTTTGTAAATGTCTGCCAATTTAATAATTTGAAGGTTATAATAAATAGGACTGAGTCGTGAAAAATAACTAGCGGCAGATATTGCACGGATTGCTCGGTTCTGCATAATTTCAATGCGATGTAATAATGTTTTAACAGCTGAACCCCAAGCAATTATGCCGTATTGGATATGGCTCTGGAATAAGGAGTAGTACACCATCCTTAGTGTTGTTGGTGATGTAAATCGTCTAAGCTTGTAAAGTATTCCAACCGATTTAGATAATTTAACGGATAATTTGGATAAGTGAACATCCCAATTCATTTTACTATCTAAATATATGCCAAGATATTTATAAGAATGGACATTTTCAAGTTCTTTGTCATCAATTTGTATTACTGTTCATTTTTAGATTTGCACTGGTGTGGAGATATTAACATAGTTTTTGATTTGCCAATGTTCAGTGTTAGTTTATTAGACCGCATCCAATTTGATACTTTCGCAATTTCAGAATTTACTCTCAACTGAAGAACTGCACAAGATTTGTCGCTGTCGAGAAGATTGGTATCATCAGCAAACAATTTGGTAAAGAAGGAGGAACAACAAGTTATGTCATTTACATAGACTAGAAATAGAAGAGGACCCAAGCAACTACCTTGAGGAACTCCGTGAGTCACTGGTAAGGGAGAGGAACGACACGACCCAACTTGAACATATTGTGATCTATTACTTAAATAACTAGAAATGAGTTTGTTTGCTGTACCCCTGATACCGAAATGTCTCAACTTGTAAATCAGGATGTTATGATTTACGGTATCGAAGGCCTTCCTTAGATCTAGGAATGTTGCACTGACAAACTCCTTCCTCTCTAGTTTATCGTAGATATATGATATTGTGTCTAAGATAGCATGTGATGTAGATAGATTATTTTGGAAGCCAAACTGTGATTTATTTATTACATCATGTTTCGTAAAAAAGCATTGAGTCGCTTATGAATCAAACGCTCAAATATTTTACTTATTGATGAAAGAATTGAAATTGGTCTGTAATTTGACATACATTTTTTATTGCCAGATTTGAAAAGAGGGATCACTCGGGCAATTTTGAGACATGCAGGGAAGATTCCAAACAAAAGTGAACAATTGAAGAATTCAGCCAAACATGGTGCAATGAGATCAGCAACTAATTTAAGGAAACGTGCTGGTATGTTGTCTGGACCAACTGCCTTCCTGTCTTTCAAATTATGTATTTCTATTATCAATTCATTTGTAGTCGCTGGGCTCATGAAGATGGACTGGTTTATACAATTGTGAAGAAATTGTTTAAAGCTATCCTGTTCAGTGGAAAACTTGCCTGAAAGGCTAGACCCAATTGTAGAAAAATACTTATTAAATTCTGTAGCAATCAAAAGTTCATCTCTAATTATAGAGCCATTTTCAATATCGATCTCGTTAACTTTTTGATTAGATTTATTTTTTACATGAGTGATTTCGTTAACTGTTTGCCATGTTGACCTAGGATTACCTTTGTTTTTAGCAATAAGGTTTTGATAATAGGTTTGTTTTGAATCATCTATGGCTCTAATCAAAACATTTCTATACTTTTTGAAATAGGAGCGTTCGGAAGTGTTCCCTTTCAAAAAGTGGGATTCAAACATCTTATTTTTGTGGCGAATAGAAGCAAGCAGCCCTTTGGTTAGCCATGGTTTTGATCGTAGCCTTTTTTGACGACGTGAGAGTGGTCGAAGCGGGGCGTGGCGATCAATCAGGTGAACAAAAGATTTTACAAATTCGCTGAAAACACCATCAAAGTTTTGGGAACTCAAATTGTTTCTAGCAATATAATTATGAAAAATTACTTGTGTATCTGTGCGAAAGCAATCGATCGAGAATTTTGACATGTCCCTTGCTATTTTGACATAATTTGTATGGGCTGGTTTTATGCCACTGAGGCAACACATAACAGGAAAATGGTCTGTTATGTCTGAGAGAACTACATGAGATTTGATTCTAAAATTTGAAATATTAGTATAAATGTGATCTATAAGTGTTGATGATGTACTGCTCACTCTAGTAGGCTTAGTGATTAATGACTTGGCATTGTGAGAAATTAACATATCGGCATAATTTGCAATTTGGGCATTAGTTGACAATGTAAGTAAGTTAATGTTAAAATCTCCTAGTATCAAAAACTGTTTCTTTGCCAATTTAGCAAGAGATGCTTCAAATGCATTAGTAAAGCTTGGAATATTATTACGAGGATGCCTATATATAACACCAACAATTATCTTATTGACTGCGTTGGCCGAACTTATTTCAAACCATATATTTTCACAGTTGGAGTGATTGAGATTGTAATCTGAAATTTCATTATAGATGAGATCGTTTCGAATATAAGCACCAACACCACCTGCTTTTGTGATGGATGGCATGTGTATAAAGCTATACCCATCAATATTAGTGTTGGAAACAGGGTTACACGATAACTTTGATTCGCTTATCGCAATTATTTGTGGAGGGGATGAGAAATTAGATAATAGGGTTGTTAATTTATCAATATTTTTTTGCAGGGATCGAATGTTCACATGGAAAATACAAAGTCAGACACTGATTGAGAAGAATTTAAATCAACAACTCCTACATTATTGCACGTTTCAATGTCACAGGAATAAGCTAATTGAGGGTCGTTTGCTAAAGCCATGTATGAAATGTAAGAGATATTTTCTCCAGGCTGGAAATAAATGGCCGGTATTTTTGATATATGTTTGGGTAATACATAAAATTATTTTGACTATACAATGTATGAATATTTATAATCAATAGACCTACTTGATGAGAGAAAGGTCATCTTCGTTATTGATGGGGATGGTAGTTGTCATTTCGTTCTTTTTTATTAAAACTTTTCCATTATGTGTCCATAGATATTTATATCCACATTCTTTTTTAAGATCTCTTGCTTTAAAAAATAAGTCCTTGTTATTGTCATTAAGGTTTTCTATGATGAATATTCTAGTAGATCTTGTAAAATGCTGAAAATCTTCATAAAAATTGGCCGATCTCAGTTGGCGACGATTTTTTAGAATTTGATGCCTTGTTTTTCTGCGTACAAATTTAACAATAATTGGTGAAGGCTTTTTGTTGTTTTCTTTTGACATCCGGTGACAGTTTGATATGTCAGATGATTGCAGCGGTACATTTATTCGTGCTGCTACCTTCATAATTAATTTTTCACAATCTTCATCACGCGAGTAGGGTATATTGTGAAATTCTAAATTATCCAACCTTGACCTACGCTCCTGGTCGTATTGGCGTTCAGTAAGGATATCTATTTCTTTTTCTAGTTCTTCCACAATACTTTCAAGTTGACGAATTCTTCGGGTGTTTTTAACTGTGATGGTGCTCAGTTTGTCATAATTGGCATTAAGTTCGTCAAACTTTCTGGCAATGAATTCTTGGCTTGTCTTTATTTCTCCAACCTCATCTTTAATGACATTGATCGAGGATAACTGAGTTTTCATTTGTTTTATAGATTCATCCAGAGATGATAGAGATTCCTGGATTCCAATGCTGGTCGGGGTGGTTGAAGAGAGATCCAGAGCTAATTTTTCAATGTGCTGTTCAATTATAGCCGGTATTTCCAGGCGCAGTGTCTTTAGAATTGTGCTCTCAAGTATGGAGACTAAATTGGATATATTGTGTTCTGTTAAGTTGGATGCTGAAGAAGTACATGCTGCTTGACGTTCAGTTGGACTTTTACGTTTCGGGGGTTCAGGAGGGGGATCGCTTGATCTTGAATATGGCATATTGTCCTTCCTTGAATCCACAGACAGTCAGATTGATGTTGTGAACAGATGTTATAGTTCATTTGACGAATCCAACACCAGATGATTCAACATTCCATTTTTAGAGTGTCCATTATAGGCTATGATATTATTTAACACTAGTCAACTATATCTTAATTATACAGCGAATTTGACAGATAAAAAACAAATAAATAAAAACTGATTATGAAATCAGGGGTGCCAACGAAACCTAGATAAGGTTTATAACGTACAAAATATAAGATGGAAGGTTTGCCAAGAGGAAGTGATACGTGTTTACTCACCTAAAATTATCAAGTTATTTCACACACGCTCACATGCACCCACCAGCCACACACACACAGAGAAGTTATTGGACACGTAGTGGACATAACGATCGTTTCAAAATTTTGTTGTTATTGTTAATATTGTCTTCATCAACACGTTTTGAAGAAATCGCTTTTTCTTCGAATACTGGACCAATTGCTTTGAAATTTTCAGTGGTTGAAGATAAAAATTCCAGAAGGCTATAACTTTTTTTTTCGCTATGACGTCATCAAAATTATGTGACTCTACGTGTCCATATATTTGAGCATAGCTCTCTTGTTTAAGTAAGAATAATATGCGATATATTTAGGGTATACTATACTGTAAACAAAAAATAAATATTAGAAAAAGAAAAAAATTATTTGCCACACCCTATTGATAATTTTGTAATGGTTGCCATTGCCAAATTGATCGATCTTCTAGTCGTTAATTAAAGTATAAAAGGAAGATTCTATTGAAAACATATTGCCAAGCTGATTATAGTTGGAGTCAAATGCCGAGTTGCCAGAATTGGGTGCTTGAAGAGGGGCGAGACCATTTCATTCCCCAAATTAGAGCCTGTGGCGAACCACATAAGTAATAGCCGTTATGAGTCACAATTGTTTTGTTTATGTTTTTGTCACGCATGATTACTTACGTGCTTTTCTTACGATAACTTGTCATTCTGTTTTCTGTTCGCTTGTCGTTATCATTGCTTTGTTATGGATTAAACATCAACATAATTGAAAGTCTTTTTCTTGTTAGAAAGAAGTTGGTTCGCTTCAAATGGTGACCCCGACCTCAAAAGCATACTTTTGAGAAAAGAATACCCACATAACGAAGAATATGAGTGAAAACAACAAAGTAGGCCTAACAGCGGTATCATTAAAGCTGCCGATTGGTTCCACCAATGACATGAAACAACATGATAGGCAACTCTGACGTCACTCCATAAGACTACAGGCAAAAGATTGTATTTCCTGATACGCTCCAATGCACATATTTCTCGCCGCCTTTCGCGTCCGTTTTCCGCTCGCTTTTGCTACTCGGCGTCTTTTTTACGTGTAGTACCTGCCTTTTTGCGCCTGTAACGAAACAAAATAATCTCTATATCTAAGAAGTTTTGCTCACTTGGAAAGCTGTAAAGAGCAATTCTGGACATCATAGACGTTTTTTTATCAGAGAAGATTACAAACGCGATAGCGGAAAGATTTATGTGGAACATTTTGCAGATAATGACATAGTTCAAAGTTAGTAATTTTAATGTTTGCGCTTAATCATTGAAATTTCATTTAAAGAGGGTGTCATACAAAACTGTGCTGTGATACAATTCCATAACACAAAGTTTGCACCTATCGAACTTGCTTTTGCAGGTGAATTTATTAGACATATTACATATTCAGTTAATCGTAGGTAACATTGCTGGTACATAATGCATCGTAGATAGGTTTGTTTAAATTTAGCTCATAGCCCACCAATTATTATTATCTTTTATGCAGGAGGTTGCAGGGCTGATTTCAACTTGCAGCCTTACCGATCACCTGACGATGCTCATTTAGTTTGGCTCGAGCAAGTCTTCTTGAAATGCTTGTGTGGATGGAAACTACCTATATTTTTTGCCTTCCTCCGATTTTAGACAAATTTATTCTGAGGGATTTCGCATATAATTCTCATTGATTGTTGGATGTTTATAATTCCTATTGATTGTGAATTCTGATTATAACAAAGAGTTAAAACAAAGAGAATTTTTTTTACCTAATTTACTGGCACCTTTTTCTTGTCAATACTACTTATTACTGAGGTAATAAACAAGACAATACATTTATGTCATCTGGAAGCAAAATATGCACACTAATTAATAGTTTGGCACATTGAGATAATACATCATGACAGAAAATACAAGTTAAAGTTAGACAAAGAAAAGAACAAATGTTCATAGCTCATGAACTCTCAATTTTGCCTCCATTGCTTTGTGAAGGCCAATATATTTCGAGTGGCTGAATTGGTTTACCTTTATGATAGCAACGATTTTGTATTTAATATAGCGAGATTATTTCAATTTAATTGAAGTGATATAATTTCCCAAAGCAATGCTTGAATCGTCTAGAATAGATCAGTGGTGTCAAACTCATGGGTTTTCGAGAGCCGCATTGCATTTTGAAAATTGTAAAAAGAGCCGCAAACAGTTTTTGATAATGTATACTTAAAAGATATTTTTAAGATAGTTTTAGTTTTGTGACATATTGTGATGCAACTAAACAGTTGGATTAAGTTTTATTATTTTCTTCAATTTCAAATGCAATTACATATTAATATTTGCATTCCACTATTATTGCAACATTTGCAAGTTACTGTATTTATTATAAAAATATAAAAATATAAAATCTAAAATTCTATGTACAACCATCAAAATCATTTTTGAACAAGCTTTGAATAAGGAAAGAATAATACATACACTAAAAATAACTTAATCTAAATATATGAACCTAAAATTAACAAAA